TGGCAGCGGAGCAGGAACGTGGCTCTCCCAGGGCAGCCCCGCGTCCAGCCCCAGCACGTCCTGCGACGTCCCTGTCCCCCTTCCTCATCTCCCCCAGCCCCATCCCGCTTCCTCCTCCCAGGGGATGGAGCACCCAGGCCAGGCTCCGCTCCCCGGGCAGAACCAGCAGCCCCCGGTACGAAGGTGACCACGCTGGACTCGGAGGGCGGCTGAGCTTCCCCGGGCAGACGCTCGGCAGCGCGTTAGGAGCTGCACAGCTCCTCCCCGGGACGTTTACGAACCAAGAGCACTAAAACCACCTTCCTCCCAGGTAGGATTATTTAATCCAGCAGCAAGCACCACGCAATAAGGGCTAATGCTGACAAGCTCTGGGCACCCACGGTGGATACGGCAGGGCAACCGACGAGTCGCTGCGCTCCGCGAGGATTAGACGCAGGCGTCCTGCTCTGCCGCCCCGGCTCACGCGGAGAAGTGGATAAGAGATTTTGCAAACTCCAGCGGACACCATCTTTTATGGGACTTTTTTTATTTTCCCAGTCACAAGAACACGTGTCATTAGCGACTCCTCCTGAAACGAGCAGCTGTTCTTTGGCCATTACTGCTCCAAAATTAACCAAGACAGAAGAATTCAATTGCATCCCTCCTCCCAGCCCTGCTGAGTGTGCACGATTATGGGATTGAGAGCATCTTTTGCTCAGAGTTCACGGGCATCCTGGTGCCTGAGAAGGCACGAACGCCTCGGGTGAACCACGAGCACAAACGCATAAAACCCCACCGCTGCCAGGGCTGGAGCAACCCAGGAGTGAATGTTATCGGCGGCAGCACCGGTGTCTCGGAGACACTCAAAGCTGCTCGGCAGGAACGCAGCCAACAACCAGGAGGGAGGATAATCTCCAGAAGAGACAGCCCCTTTCTCGCTTCCGTTCTCAATCTCTGCGAGGATATTTCAAGGCCCCCAAAGAACGAACAAACAAACAAACAAAAAAAAAAGCACGAGCAGAACCAAAGAAAAATAAAATAAAGAAACAGGACGCAGCCAGAGCTGAGGGGCAGCGCGGGGTCACGCGACACCTGCTAGCGATGGCCTTGCAAGGCAAGCCTGCAGCTGGGGAAGGGAGGGATCGGCCGTAATTCTATCAATGGCCACAGTAAACAAATAATAAATAATGTGAACCAGTAAACAAAGCTGAGGCATAATCGCAGGCTTTGTCAGAGCTAAAACCGAATCCAAATTTATCTCCTCACAACCAAAAAAAGTCAGTGCTCATAAATTTACATACCTTTGAGTGCCATGAATGGCTTGTTATTGGAAGCACGGACAATGTGCTGGCAGAAATGGTGAAAGCAGCCCTGTGTGGCCACTCGCACCCCTCGTACAGGTGGCCAGCGCGGAGCCATCGCTGGGCTGTGCTCCCAGAGCTGCATTTATTATCCCAAATGTGGAGATTTGTGCTCTGTCCTTACAAGGGACTGAAGCCCCCGCATTCTACCTTTCCTTTCCCTTCCCAAAAGAACAACTCCCACAAGGTACCATCGGAGCTTGCACCAGGGTTTTCCTGAAGGCAAAACTGCAGCCTTTCTTGGGAAAAGTCCCCAGGATGCTGTGAAGACACACGGAGCTACCTGGAAATGACTCTGCTTCCACCACACTTATTAAAACAAAATTTTGGGTTTTTTTAAGAGGTGGAGCTGGGAGCAGGGCTGGGAAGCACAACTCAAGCAGACACATACCTGGGATTTTGACCGAATCCTGGTCAATTCTGCTCTCCTCTCCATCCAGGCGCTCCAAGCCCACCGCTTCTGTCTTCACAGGGGCGTCCTCCGTTGCAGACAAGGTGGTATACGTACTAATAACCAGTATTCCCAGGCCAATCCACAGTATAATCTGCACAATGTGCCAGAGCTTCAGTTAGCACAGGAAAACAAATGGAACTGCTCTGTACAGCATTCTTCATGCAAATAGTGTCTCCAAACAATTCAAAGCTCAGTGCAGTTACACATGTCAATAAGAGGGAGAGAAGATGAGAGAAATTTAAGAGGCGAGAAAGAAAAAGCAGTAGCTTTTGGACGAGGTTTGTGTTGGGATGTAGAGATACACGAATGAGAGTTTCAGATGCTGGAAGCCGTTACAAAGGCAACTCCTGTATCAGAAGGGCTCAAAAGCAAGTGGACAGGATGTAAGGATAGAAAAATGCATGTGGCAGACAAGAGTCCAGCTGCAAAGACTCATTCCCTGGTATTTCCAGCAGCTACATTAGAACACCATGAAATCAGTCTGGCTGAGAACAGAGGTGCCTGACCTGTTTACAGCCTAGAAAGGTTTCTAGGGAGCTGTTAAAAAATTCTTACTTTTGAAAGCAAGAATAAGATGTCCTGGTGGACAGTGCTCAGGAAGCTGCTAAGTAACTCGCCGACTTCCAGAAAGCTGGGACCAAATAGAATAAAAATAGAAAGACAGAATCTGGATCTTGTGGGGGGAAGGGCTCTATGAGTTTAACTCAAAAAGGAGAAAGCGACCACCACCAAAAAGAACATTTCTACGGCTTATTATCCAATGATAAATTGATCTAAAAGGATCTAATTCCACATGAGCCATATGACAGAATAAAAACTCTCTGCACTCAACAAAAATCTCTGGCAGCACTAGCGATTCACGGGGTAACTCGAGAAGGACAAGCAAGACGATGCACAGCAGCAACAGGGGCAGAGGAACGTCTGCCGTGTTCGGTGCCGGGGCTGCCAAATGCCTGCCTGCTCCTCCAGACGAAAGCGGTACCAGTTCAAAGAGCCAAGCAGATGGATTGCTGGCCGACAGCGCTGACTGGGGAGATTTAATTAAACTCTAATGTATTATTTTTACCTAGTTAATCATTGCAGTTGTCACAGTAAAAGGCTTCTCATGGAACCCGGTTTGCCTGTCAACACGTCAACGGTACTGAATGACTGGTAGGAGAAAGTCTGCAAGAGTTTGTGCTGAAGGAAGCAGGCAAAGCAGCAGCACCCTCCGCTAGAAACACGGGTCTCCCCACAAGCTCCTTTTCACAACAGACCGTGGAAGCAACAGAACCCGTCACGTGCCAAACAGAAAACACCTCTGCAAAGCTGGGAAGCTGAAAGTTTGCAGCAAATTGGTATCTATGATGCAGCAATTCCACACACCCCCCCCTTTTTTTTTTTAAGTACGTTCCGCCCTCTGAAACACCAGAGATCTAGCTTATTTCTGCGGCTCTGCATGCGGCAGCACAAGGGTCCAAGACAATGCTGCAAACGGCATCTTTTCTTTGCGCCTCGCGGCTGCCCTGCGCGACGCCCAGAGCTCGCAGGCAGCACGCTGCTGCTTCTCCTCTGCTTTTTGCCAGTTCCCATCTCCGCCCCCGCTGCGTGCCTGCTGACTTGCAGGCTGCTGGAGGCAGGACACCGCTTTTTCCACCACATGTCTAACAAGAACAACTCGCTATGCACGCTTCACGAGGCAATCGAGCAAAAGTCTCAATCTGCACAGGAAAAATGCCGCTTTGGTACACGGTCTGGTTGCTGTCCCGTAGGAACCACACAAGCTGGCGGCCTGGCCCCTTTGCAGGGAGGTGCAACACCCAGACTACTGGTGATTCTGGCTTGGGCTGTGATACCAGCTCACGAGAGGACCACAAGGATCCTGTGGGACTCATCCTCTTCCCCCAGCATCCTTACCCTGTGGCATTTACATCCCAGTTAACAAAAAGTACAACAAAAGGATGCTACTCCGTGTGAGAAAAAAAACAGGAACGGCTATAGGGGACCACTGCTACAACTGGGAGCTGCCAGAGGGAGAAAACCAAAAATCAAGGGGAGGAGGGAAATGGAAAGGAGACGTTAAAATGTTGGCACCTCCAGGGGAGGGAGGAGAGGCTAACGTCTTCCTCTCCTTCCTCGTGCTGAGGGAGATCACCCAGAAAGACAGCCAGTGCGGCCAGAGCCTCGGGCCCAGGAGACTCCGTTCTCAGCACACCCCTGCAGACAGACAGACGCCTTCAGACGGAAAAGGTCAGCGAGACATGAAGTGGCTCTGGACAAGGGACAAGCAGCGTGGCCAGGGAGCAGAGGCCAGACCTTAGAGACATTGCAAAGGAAACAGAAGTAAAATCTGCTCCCTGCCTTGCCGTACGGGTGCACAAAGAGCAGATATCCTGCCATCCCGCTCGGGCCAAAAGCAGAGTCAGCAGGTCCCTGCCACTGCTGCCCTCGGCTTGGAGCTCGTCCACTTCCTCCCCTCACACAATCTACAGCCCCAGCAGAAATGCACTTTGCAACTGGAAGGCTGTTCTGGTGTCTTCCAGAAACAACAGCGGAAAGGAAGAGCATTTCCACAAAGAGGATCTATTCTGGTGCCACAGGAACTAGGAGCAACGTGGGAGAGAAGGGAACTGTAGGAAACAGCTGAAAACATTAAAATGTTTTAAAAGGATTTTTGTTGTTTCTTATCTTAGTGGGGAACCACAGGCTTGAATGCCTTAGATTCAAACCCCTTTGATTGTTCAACATTTGGAGTTCATCTGTGAGCTTCCCAGAGCAGCGGGTACGGGCACACACGGCAGTCAAAGACAGGCTGGGCTGTCCGTGAACCAGCAGCCGTCCCTCACCTTCAGCTCCCCCCGTCAGCACTCCTCCTCCTCACCTACCCCGTCAGCAACTGATGACCAGAATAAAGAGGTCCACAATTTGGCTTAATTCCACAGAGATACTTCTGACATGGAGAACCAGGCAGTTCGTACTCAAGGGACCACCAAGACTAATCTGACAATCAAAGGAAGAGGAACATGGGGTGCAAGGACCCGGCGGCTCGAGGAACCAACCACAGGCAGAGAAGCCACCCTGCTCCCAAAGCATTCAGCTGAAGAGCTGAGAACCCGGAGCAAGGAGAGGGGCAACACTGCAGAGCAGTTATAAGCCAGGGTCCAGTCCCACAGGAAGGATCTCCCTGCCCCTGAAAAGCAAACCCAACGAGAGCAGAGACCCTTCTTCAGAAGCATCTCTCAACGTGGACACGGCAAGAGGACGTGCAAAGTCGTGTGGCTGCAGCTTCCTCCAACAGGCAGGTCAGCAAGGCAAAGGCCTGTCTCCCGAGAGGAGAGCTCCGAGCACGGATGGGAATTCAGGAGAGGAAGTTTACACGGCCGTTTCCTCTGCTGGTTGCTTTCCCTCGGCCGTCCTTCCTCCCAGAAGATAACTCGAACTTTGTACAGAAGCGTCATTAGCTCAGAACATCTCCTCTAACCACGCCTGAGCCGTCAGCGGGAAACAAAAAACTGCATTTGTGCAGAGTGACGACATCCTCCAAACTGTCCTGTTTTGGACACGGAGCGTTCGGAGGGACAGAGTCACGGCGAAGGAATGCAGAGCCCCGGTCAGTGCCGGGTTCCTCCGCTGCGCTGTGACAGAGATGCTGTGTTCGAAGGGCTGTGCTGTCCAAAAACGCCTACAGTGAAGGTGTGCTGGCCTCTGCACTACCAGGGGAGGGCAGAGGGGAATCTCTTTTCCACCCGCGCAGGAGCGAGACCGAGGGGTCATTCACTGACCTCGAGCAGCCTCTCCACAGCTCCTCTCCCCCAACTGGGACAACAGCAACTCCGGCTTCCCTAGGAGGGGCCTCTCGGACAGGCTTGTGTCAACACTGGCAAGCCAACACCTTCCTGTTAGAAGTTAAACACTCTGTTTACAGACCTTAACGCGACCTTCAGCAGCACTCTGCCAAACCTCGCTCTGTCCCCCCGCTCAAGGCTTCCGGAGGGCAGCAGGACACGGACCCGCACCTTTGCGGGAACACACTTGGTGCTTAACCACAAGAAAGGGAACGCTCTCCCCAGTTCATTCACAGCTCCGCACGCCTGACTTCAAGCTTTTTAACTGCTCCGTTACCCGATCATCTTTCCAACACAAGAAGTCTTCCAACCCAGCCACTCCCCAGCCTAGCCCAAGCTGCCGTTCCCAGCCCTGGCCGGCTGAGCAGCGGCTGCCATCGTTAACAACTTGCTGGCAGAAGCCACCAGTGCTCTTTGCTGGCCAGCAAACATCTGGGACTGCCCACGTCCCTCCCGCTGGAACCCTCTTCACCACTTTTAATGCAATTCCCCTGTTTCATAGCCTCAGCTTGCACCACCTTCCCAGCTCAGTAAATCTGGACTTCGTATCCCACCAGCCCTGTAAGCTGCCCGACACGGGACTTTGCCGGATGCCAGAGGCCCAAAAAACGCAGCCAGTTCTCAGTAACAGCACCGCAAGAGTCAAAATAATTCAGGCAAGTGCAAGAGCTGGAGTTGAAAAGGTCTGATGACGGAGGGAGAGAGAGCATCCATGTACATCGGCTAGGGAAAAGCAGGGAGGAACAGCTATGCCCAGGGCTGGCTGCTCCTCCCCCTTGTCTGCCACTTTTCAGAGGAGCGCGTTTTGATGGAGCGGAGCACCTGATCAAAGCAAGCAGGAA